AAACAAAGTTTTGATTTATAAAGCAATAAATGTTTTATATAATAAGAAGTATTTTGAAAACAGATTTTTAAAGAAAATTCACAAAATTGAACATTGTACAAACCAGGTTATTTTTAAGATTGACGTGCTGGTGGTATATGAATAAATTAATTCTTGCGCTGTTATGCTAATGAACAGAGCACTTTTCCCGCGTTAGTGATGAATCATTGAACAAAGAGAACACACTTCTTATGTTTGTAAACAAAGCGAGAAGTTTGCAGTAAAGAAGGTAGAAGTAAATCAACTACTAATCTCAAATGAAAGAAATGAGCTATACTGGTTGAAAAAACAATTTTGAAGTTAAAGTTCTTATTTCTTGTGCAAGCAATAAAAGATTTCGATTTCTTCAAGGGTTAGATTTTTTCAGCAGCGGACAACTTTGTGCTCCAATTTCTTTTTCCCTGTTAAAAACACTGTTGAGAATTCCTGCCTTCCACAATCTAGATCTGTTTTAAAGCAAGCTTTAAATACAGCAATGGCCTGTGATTCTTATCTCATTGATTGTCGGCACTACACTGGAAAGTGGTTTCCTTTAATATGTCCATCTGTGTTTTGCTATCAGATGCTGGCCATGTTATAAGATGAATTAATAGTACTGAAGGCAATAAATAAAAACAAAAAACAAAAAAAAAAAAAAAAAAAAAAAAATTAAGTGGGGTGTATTGATAAATTAAATGTGAAATGCATATTTATAAATGTGAAATGATCAAGAAAGTAAATTAATTCAAGGGTAGAGAGATCATGTAAAAAGTCAATATCATGCCATTGTGATGAATTTAAAGTCTTCAGTCGAAAAGCCGAAAGAATTGAAATTTTTAAACGTGCATACATGTATCAATGAAAGTCAAGTAGTTGAATTTCAAGAAAGGCTAAACTGAGAGAAATGATATATAAAATTTGCTTATTTCAGTTAAATATCAACAAGTTGAATTTCAAGAGTAGCGTAATCAAGAGAATTAAAATGTTATTGCGCATATCAATGATCATAAAAGACAGGGGGTTGAATTTCAAGAGTGGCTAAATTATTTGATTTGACATCATTTGTGCATGTAAATTTTGAAAGACAAGGAGTTGGATTTCAATAGTAACTAAATCAAGAAAATTGAATTATGAAATATACATTTGAATGAAAGTAAAAGATATGAATTTTAAGACTGGCTTAATCAGGAGAATGGGAACATATTGATGTGCATTGAAAATGTCAAATTGTTTGTCGATTTAAGAAAGCAGTGAAAATATTCAATGAGCATGTTAATGGAATTTGCGCTATTTGTAAATAATAATTCCTTACTTGTAATACTATTATAGGTTTGGCCAATTGGTTTGAGATATGTATGTTTAAAGCTTTTTCTTGTTTTTTTGTTGTTTTTTTTTTGTTTGTTTGTTTGTTTTTTTTGTTTTTTGTTGTTTTTTTTTTTTTTTTTTTTTTTTGTTTTGTTTTTTGTTGTTGTTGTTGTTTTGTTTTGTTTGTTTGTTTGTTTGTTTTTGGTCTATTTAGGAGTTGTTTTAATACTGTAATATGACTTTAGAACAGTTGTGCCATTTTTCTCTATTTGAAACTAGTCTCTTGATATATAATATTTCTGTCAAATGATATCGAGTGCCCAAAAATTTGTTCTCTGTAGTTTTAATGATTACTGGAATTATTATACATTCCAGTAAATATTAAAAAAGTAAATATACATGTTAAAAATACAGGATGGGAAAGGTGTAAATAAAATGATATAATTTTATTTCTCAAAGAAAACAAAAAGAACGAATTTTAAAGTGATAGCTTTCATCATTGCATATGGATTAATATAACATAATCCATATATGGACTAGAGACCTCAACTCATTTAAACATTATATAATCAATACCATCAACTCTTAGTAGTACTTTCAGTACTTTGATTTATGACTTGCACTTGCGCGTGTTCAAATCATAGTAGTTTCAAATTGTAAATACTGTGGAAAATAATGATGCAAATGTTACAAAGGCACTACAAAGTGCTAGAATATCCATCCTTTTATTGCATTTACCAAGCAAGAAATTTTCAAACCCATCACTATGTTTTTCAACAATATTTTAAAAATTACTGACAAATACATGTAATCACTGCTAGGAAAACAAATGTATACTGGAATGAAATTCATATCTTTGTTCTGAAGATGTAACTTAATTGACAGTCATTTGCAGGCCCGTAGCAACGGTTTCAAAAGTGGAGGGGGCAACCTCTCAGAAAAATCTGACAACCCCCCCCCCCTCCCAAAAAAAAATCCGCCAAGCAAAAAAAAAAAAGAAGAAGAAGAAGAAGAAGAAAATTACTTGTTTGCCAGTGCTCGACTTATAGCAACAAAAAGTGTGGGGGTGGGGGGAGGACCAGCATCTAAAGGATAATTTTCTATAGCAAAATACTACACAGAAAAAAAAGCCCCCCCCCCCCCCGCGTTCTACGGGCCTGCTTTGTTGCGCTCTAGTGGAAAAATAAAGCTATAAAACTTTTTATCGTGTGAATTTTAAAATTATCTATTTATTTTTTTTTTTATGGAATAAATAACACCCCCATATTGTTAAGGGAGATGATGCAATCAGTATTACCAAAATTGAGTTTACTGTATATTCTATTGTGCAATAGTTCATAAAGAGATCTGGTCGCTCAATTTATTTATACATACTACATCAAATCATATTTTTTGTACATGCATATTTACTGATACAATGTTACCTGCTTTAAGTAAGCAGATCGTCTTTTTGTCCCCCCGATTTTGCGAAAGCGAGGCGACATTAAATCTCATTCGTCTGTCTGTCTGTCTAGCTGTTCGTCAGTCTTTCTGTCCGTCTATCAGTCTGTTTGTCACAAAAACTTTAACCTTGGTCATAACTTTAGAATGAGAAGAGATAGGGCTTTCATATTTCACATGTACATTACCCGTGACAGGATCTTTCCAAATATACTATGAATTTTGACCCCGTGACCCTGACCTTTGACCTACTTTTCAAAAATTTTAACATTATATTAAATTGGTCATAATTTTTGAATTTGAAAAGATGGGGCTTTCATATTATATATGTATATTACCTGTGACAAGAATTTCCCAAATATACTATGATTTTTGACCCCCCCCCCCTGACCTTGCCCTTTGACCTATTTGTCAAAAATTTTATAATTACTTAATTACTTATAACTTTGATTGAGAAGAGATAGGGCTTTGTTATTTGACATGTGCATTATCTGTGACAAGACCTTTCCAAACATACTATGGTTTTTGACACCCCCCCCCCTTTGACCTGTGACCTTGAAGTTTGACCTGCTTTTCGAAATTTATATCTTTACTTTTAACTTTTGATTGACAACAGATAGGGTTTTCATATTTGACATGTGCATTGCCAGTAAGAAGGTGTTTCTGAGCATGCTATAATTTTTTACCCCTTGACCTTCAGGTTTGACCTAATTTTCAAAAATTTTAACTTTGGTGATTTCTTTTGAAAAACATAAGATGGGGTTTTCATATTTGACAAGTGCATTACCTGTGTCAAAATGTTTCCGTATGTGCTTTGATATTTGACACAGGGACCTTGACCTTCAAGTTTGACCAATTTTTCAAACATTTTATCCATGTTGCTAACTTTTGAAGGAGCAAAGATAGGCATTCATATTTGACACGTGCATTACCTGTGTCAAGCATTTTCAAATGTACTTTGATTTTTTATCCCATGACCTTGACTTTGGCCTACTTTTCAAAAATTTTAACACTGCTAATAACTTTTGATTGAGAGAAGATATGGCATTTACATTTGACATGTGCATTACCTGTTTCAAGGCCTTTCCTCTTGAATACTTTGGTTTTTGATGTTTTTCACTTGTGACAAGACCTTTTGGATTTTATTATGATATTTGACCTCATGACCTTGATCATGAAGTTTGATGCAGTTTTGAGAAGCTATAATCTTTTCCATAACTGTTATTCAATAATTTATGTCTCACAGACAAGACAGACACACAAACAAGACAGTTACAATATGCCATAACTAATGGCATCCCATCCACTAAGACACCAAAATGGGGGACCACAATTCTTTGAATTTGCTTGTTAATTTCTTCTACTTAAATTTTTGAACATTATTTTGTGCAATTGTCACAAAGAAAAGGATTTCCTTAGTTAGAAGAACTTCTGTCTGATTCTATTATTGCAAACAACTTCACATTGAATGTTTTATTTTAACCATTAAAGAGATGTAAGTATTCAAGTTTGAATTTGTTAACTTTAATTTATCAATTTTAATTTGAAATTTGTTGTTTTATTTTTAAAATCTCAGTTTTAAATAAATCTCTCCTGACCTACTCTCTTGTAAAGAAAATATGGATTTGAATATCAACACATGTAGGCTATAATTTTATCTGTAGTTAAAAGCTTCATTATATTGGCCAACCCTATAAAAACTAGGGCTGGGACGGTATATCGAGATATCAATAATATCGATTCAATGTGAGGATGATACACATATCGATACGTATGAAGAAATATCGAAATATCGCCCAAAAAATTCTGACTTATGTTTTTCTTTGTTTACTTAACATTTTGTGTTAAATATGTAATATAAATATGCTAAATATTAATATAAATATGAAATACATAATAATTAACACTACTTGTGTAAAATTATTTTCTTTCACAACAGGTATACATCTTCTTTGAATAAATTATTCTTATTTGTGAAGAAATTTTTTGTTCATTTCAATACAAAAAAGACATTTTATAACAAATTCAACATATCATGATACATATCGTATCGTGGTTCAAATATCGTGATACATATCGATATAGAAAAAGTTGTATCGTCCCAGCCCTAATAAATACCCAGTACATGTACACATCATTGACAATTATTCGACATCTTTTGCAATATTAATTTTCTGTTTTCTCTTTATTTCTCTAAATGTGGTCAAATACACATATAACACACAAGTAACATACAATCAGAACATTCATCCTTGTTTATTTTAAATCTCACATGGAAAAAATACTACAGATTTACCAGTACATTAATGGCATGACAGGAAAATGAAATTGACAAAATAAGACAACCAAAATTAGAAAGATACTGGAAATGAGCATGAAAAAGAAAAGAACTTCCTCTATCACCTTTGTATTCAACTGTTCTCAGACATAAACATCATACAGCATTTACACATCAAATTCAGTTTCCGTACAATCTACAAATGTGTTTTTGATGACACATACAGTTATCTTGATGTAACTCACAATATCAAATCTAGTTTTACAAATCATGACTTCATACTAGTGTTGAGAGCCATTTCTCCACCTCCATGAGTCCAGGCAAGTCTTTGTCAGAAGTGTCTACTGCACTACATTCCACAAACTGAACTTTCATTGGTTTCAGATCTGAGAATTCGAAATCCTTGTTACGTTTGCCGAGGTAGGTGTTGTTGTTTCCTGTGGTCCCCTCTAGTTGCTGGAGAGCAGCTGAGCGTGTTACTCTCAAAGTGTTCCTGAAATAATACTCTCTTAAGAAACCTTTTCTTATGTACAGAAAATTGTCCTCTCTTCATATAGTTTGTTGAATTATATATGTAAATTAAGTAAAATGAAATGAGGGAAAATATAGTGTGATTTTCTCATTTCATATATTTGCTTTAATAAAGAGAGTAGATTCATAATGTTGTGTTATTATTTCTATAGTAGAAAGAAAACTAGAAACAATGAACAAGCTCACAAAATGATACCCTGCTATTTTCATGCTTAATTTTTTTTATCTTCCAAACTGACCTTGATATGTTTAAAAAAGTTTGGTTGATTTTCATAGAATATTCTAAGATTATATAATCAACTTTGTGTCTGACTCAGCTATTTCAAAGATAAGTCTTTGTTAGATATTTGACAACATTCCCACCAATGATCTTGAATTTCCATGACTGATCTTCAATCAAGTTGAACATAAAAAAAACCCTGGGTCAAAAGCAGTATTTACTTCAACATGTTCGAGAATTAAGCTCTCGATGTTTCTATGATACAAAGTAAATAATGGCCTGGTCACTAGACTAAATACCGCAAAATATTTTTCTGCTGGTGATATCCCCCCTTTCTATTTAGAAGGAGGAGGAAAGGTGTAATTATAATTATTAATGATTAGTAAACCAATTAAAACATTAATACACACACAAAATTTTAACTCAGCGATAATGATTTTGACAATTGTGTAAAATAAAGGACTTACATTTCTTTCTGCAATTGTTTCTCTATAAAACCAGCTCCTTTGACTAGATGTTGATCCTGCTTGTTACATGCAATCAGAATGGGAGGAGCATGACCCAGAACCACAGGGTCACTCAGCACTGTGTACAAAAATCTGTAATATCAAAGTTATAGTCAGTAATTGAACAAAAAATTTCCCGAGAAAAAATTTCTTCTTCTTCTTGGGCATTTTTGCATGTATTTAGTTAAACATACTTTCAGAAACACATTAAATATTAACTGACAGTACATTTATATGACCTAGAAGAATCCAAAATTTATTTGCATGCAAGAAACACATGTACATGCATGTACCTACAAGTTATTTTGCACGCATATCTTATGAATGTTAAAATTTTTTGAATGTAATCAAGTCAAGATTGCATTCTTTAAGATTTATTTTTGCTTACGCATCAGGAGTATTTACATGTATACACACATTAAATTAATCACTAAAAATTTTTTCACTAATCCAAGTTATGCTTTGAGTAAACTGTAGAAGTACTTATTTCTGCGTGGTATTTATTTACACTATGTACACTTTCACAAATTTTCCACAGAAATTTGTCGCAGCTTACGTAAAGTACATTTAAGGCATATAGTGGCAATCTATTCTAAGAAATGTACGTGAATTGAACAGCAATTTTGATTCCACAGAATTATGAACCCACGGAAAAAAAAATGTTTACAGTATAACATTAACTACAGTAAAACTTGTTTAGTACGAACTTGGATATAAAAAATTTACGGATACAGCGTTCTTTTTAAATCCTTAATTCTTAACAATTCCTTGTAAAATTTTACTTATTTATGATTGAATTTACTTTATTTATAATTGAAACTCAATTCATCCAAAAACTTTAGTACTACAAAGTAAGTTTTATATATAATACTTCCCAAAATATATCTGTTAGTCATACTTGAAGGAAACATCAATATTGCAAATTTACTATATATACTTCAACAAATTTGTTATACAGATATAACAAATCAAGTTCCCAGGACTTTGCTATAACCTAGTAAAACTGTATTAATTTTTTTAGGCAAAATATTCCATTTGCTTGGAGAACACATTACCAGTAAATACAATAAATACATTTAAAATAAAAGAGTTTTCCAATGAAAAAAATCATACAATTTTCAATAATAGTAGAATACTTCCTAATCCATAAAGATTATTTAACAACTTTTCAATAATATTCGAATATGTATATCTTTTAATCCATAAATGTCCCTTATTTTGATACAAATTTTCTGTATTAGAAATATACAGTGCTTGCACTTACTCTGCCACTTCTTTGATATCTTTCTGTACAGAAGTACTGTCAATCACATACACAACACCCCTGGAGAAAAAGTCAAAGGTTGAAAGTACTGTCTGTAGACAACATTGATAAATTATGCAAAGTCACATGACAAAAACATTAGCAGTATTAATAATTATTTTTTGAAAATCAAAGGTTTTATGGCAATTTATTCAGTTTTTAAGCTCTGAAATTGGAAGCATAATGGGGGTGGGGGGGTTCTCATATGCCTTGATCAAGAAATTAATTAACATGCTATTTCTCAATATCTATAACTTTTTAAGTCAAGCAGTGATATCTACTTGTAAGTAAATTTCAAATTCATATGACATACTTATTTATACTTCAAAAGTAACTTAGATTAATAATGGCTGGGAGAGACACACATACATGTAGGGACATAGGCACTCACTAGTATGTCAACAAAATGTCAATAACCACATCTGCTAGGATCATTAGTAATAAGTGAAAATATGAACAAATTATTATTTCAACAACAATATCAATGCATACAAAATATTGCAAAATCTCATTATTCATTCTGTTTGGTAGGGACAAGAACATCTCTAATCATAAATGCCTGTGTATTCAATAAAAAGGCAAAGCAGGGTTCAAGCCTCTTTATAACCACCTTGGTCAATGTTCTAGGATTTCAAAAGAAGACTCATTAGATTCCCAACACAAAAAATAAAATCAAAAAAGCTCATTATTCATCACATTCATCTCCTGAGCTTATTACTGACAGCATGCACCCTTAGACATATCATAACATGTATTAATGTACCTGCTAATTAATGGTAAATATTAACACCCTCAGTAACTGAAATCTTTTACCTGGCCAGTCCTTTAAACTGATCCAACACCTGAAGCCTCAATCTTTCATGGCCGGGGAGATCATAGATCTTGAGAGACTTGTTCTGTAAAAATGAATCATTGTTGAAAATATTATTTAACAGTTCTCATGTACTGTGGTTTTATCACTTTTCATTGAGGAATTTTTTGTGAATATAGGTGATCAATGAGACCTAACAAAAAAATATGTTTAACTCTTATCATGATTACATGCTAATAAAGACAAGAAGACCAATGAAAGTTTAAAACTAGCAAGATTGGAAATATGCAGCTTATGTCATTTCTATCTGTTTCAGTCAAAACATTTGATGATAGACAATGAAAAGGGCGGGTACAATTTGGCACAGGCATCTGAGAAAGCATTTGATTGAATTTCTACTTTGAAGTTGATTTTCTATTCACTTAAATAGATCAGAGTTTTCTGTCCAATCTTTTAAAAGAAATAAATAGGGGACGTCCATATTAATCCTGTGTGTGGGCTGGCAGATCTTGGAAATAAATAAGGAAGTTTTTGTGTTTCAACAGTCCCCCTCCCTCCCCATTTTTGCTTGTCAATCATTTTTTAGTGGAGAAAAAATTTGAATAATATCTTTTGTCATCCTAGAAATAAATGTGTAATGTATTCTGTTATGTGAAGATGTGAACATAAATAATCTGACTCAACAATCCCCCCCCCCCCCCCTTTTCACCTTTTCAAAATGAAATGGACATCCCGAGAAAGAATATATCTGTATCTTTGATATCTATAACTTTTGCATGTCTTTTATGAAATAAATTGGATAAAAAATTCTGATCTACATTAATTTCATCTACTTTTGGGCATTGACATTATTTGTCTTTTGGATTAAACATTTTTAACACTTTGCTTAGTATAAAAATAGCTCAGGTGGATTGAAAATCAACTTTGAACTAGAATTTCAATCCAATGTTTTCTTATAAATGTCCGTGATGAATTATACCCGCCCATTTTAATGTCTATCAACACATATTTTGACTGCAACAAATGGAAATGAGGTAAGCTGTATAATCCAATCTTGTCAGTTAATGTTCCGCAGGGTTATCAGGAATTCATCATATGATCACTACTTGAGCCACTACCAGCTAACTACATGTAATGTGTCTCTTGAAAATAATCATGTCTCCATTATGATTGGAAGCTCTCAAAGTACACATGTCCAGGTCTCTATAAGTCTTAAAGGTGCTTAGACACAGATTTGAACTTAATACTTTCTCAAATTTTCTGTATAATATCACGATTTATATATTGCAATAGCATTTCACACGAAAATATAATTAAAAACTTATTTTATCTAGAAATTATTGGAACTACGAATTCCGGGACGCGTTTGATTAACACATCTTTGCACTTACACAAATTTTAACTTTATCCTTAACATTTAAGAAAAGAAGCGATTTTGTTATGTATTAATGAAAAATATTACATCTATAGTCCAGAAAATTCAGAGTAGAAATGTTCAAAAGCAAAACCAAATCACCAGTATCGTCAGTCCGTGCTCTGTGATGTGTACAGAGTTTAACAAATTGAACACACCCGTGAAACATAAACTGTTTTTGTAAACAGGGCACGCCCTCTGTTATTGTTAATGTTTACGATTCACCGGGTGTGTTCAATTGTTAAACTCTGCACACACCACTGAGCACAGACTTACAAAATACTGTGAGTGGGTTTTGCTTTCGAACATTTCTACTCTGAAATTTCTGGGTTATAGTTTTACTACTTTTCATTAATACACAACAAATTGCCACTTTTCTTAAGTATTAAGAATAAAATTAAAATACGTCAAAGCGCAAGGATGTGTCAATCCAACGCGTCCAGAAATTCGAAGTTTTAATAACTTCGAGATGAAATAAGATTTTGATTATATTTTAGTATGAAATGCTATAGCAACATATAAGTCATGAAATTATACAGAAAATTTGAGAAAATATTAACTTCAAATCTGTGTCCAAGCACCTTTAATTACTGTATAAAGAATCTCCTGTTTACAAGGGCTAACCAAATAAATTCAAATGAAGTTCATTAGAATGGAAAACTTCTTAATATATATGCGGGTATATTTGTGAAAATGATTCCTCCAATTTATAAAACACAATGTCATGCATATATCAACAATACATGTATCTATAAAAAATATAGCATTTGCAATTTTTATTGGCATTGTTTTATTAAACAAGATATGTGCCCTTTTGTGAAATAATTAAATACATGTGATTATCAGGTGATGTGGTGAATATTTTCTTCCAAAATTTTAAGAATATCTGCAATTATTTCTCCTACAGTGTATTTTCAGGGTTGCAAATAACCACTCGCCCATTAGCAAATTCAAGTAATTTTGTTTGAAGGCGACAAACTTTTGAGAATCTTATTGCCCATATGTTGACAGAGAGAAAATTTTATCAGAACTTTTCAACCCTGGTTTGACTCTAATCATGCTAATTCTCAATGCACTTCCGTTTTCACTGTTTCCTACCAACATCTCAGCCGATTTGTACCTTATCTTATTGATGAAGGTGACAGAGTCACTTGAGGTTTGATGAATGATTCAATGAACAATACAATAAAGCAGAGTTACCTTTCCTGGAACAGAATAATCTCCACTATTGGGGGAGACTGATGTTACAGTATGTATTGGTTTGTCACTTTTGTAAACAAGCTGAAAAAGAATATATAAATATATTTAACCAAGAATTTACTTAAAAGAAATTAAACTTATTATTTTCACTATTCACAATTTTTTAGTTAGGTTAATATAGAACTGGAAGCATTATCTTTCATTTGCATTCCTTTGGTAAAAAAAAATTCATTTGTACTTGATTCTGTAGTAAAATATTCCATATTACCCTATGAAAAATGAGAGTTTTTCCTGTGTCACACATTCCCAAGAGCAGTACACCCTGTCTTTTGTTGCCTTTGCCACTCAGAAGAAATACCACTGAAAGTATAAAGGATAAGCCATACTTCAATTAAAATAATAACACAAGCATGTATACACATATTTAAAACTATAACGTTGAATAATTATCATTAAATTATGAACATATCGACATTTAGATCATAATTTTAGGAGTATTTAAAATTATATACAAATAAATTATTCAACAAAGAATAAAAGCTGCAGAACTGTAGCTCTCTGGTTGAGAACATTCTAGCTGACAGACAATCCAGAGAGCTACAGATCCAAGCATTGTAAAAACCTTCGATTTACGACGACAGTCTTTTGTTGCTCAGTTCAAGTATTATTTCTTGTATTAGGGTCAAGATCTAGTGAATGAAAGTTGCCCACAGATTTCTCAAATTTGAGATACACATTCTTTTAATGATCCTTTACAAATATAGCTTGGTAAAATAAGGTGTATCCGGACATAATTTTGGGGTAAACTCATGGGAAAAACATATTATAAACTGTCCATTTTCAGTGAAAAATGAAGAAAGTCTGGTATAAATATGGGAGTTTTTTCCATCTCAGACAAAGGAAATGTATCAATATTGTCTACAGTCTCTCAGAAAACAGTTTTTCATATCTTCTTGATCTCTACTTAAAAATGATATTAAACGGAATAAGGGTTTCGGATTTACATTTGACATAATTTCAATTTGAATTCCATGAAAGTGCTTTATTTTCTACATAATTCTATTGAAGCCGTAAAGTACGGGAAAAATTAAGTTTAAATCAATTATGACGTCATAATGAATCTAGCACCAAGAAGAAAGTCTAAACTCATTTACTAGATCTTGACCTTAAGTACATCTTGTATATTATTACTTCTTGTAAAAAGTAATGAGACTATGAGTAACATACTAGTATATGGTTAAGTAATGGATACCATACTTTTGGCAGGGAAATGCATATATATACACATGTATTACAAAAAAATAATACCTGAACTGAATGACAAAAGAGATGTGCTGTAAATCCAAGGTTTTAACAATTTCTTTATTTCTCTCCAGTTCGTCTGCCCAAATTTTCTCAACCTGAGAGCTACAGTTCTGTAGTTAGAAAACTATTTGTATAATAGCTAGGAAGTAGCATTGTACATATACTTAATCTGAGCAAGATTTGTCGAGACTACAAATTTTGTACTCACGTCTCTCCCCAATCTCAGACCAATGCCATTCAAAGTGATTAGGGAAATCTTGCCTGAACTTCAACCTTGTTACGATCAAAATGTTTTGAATTGAATTCCGTGTTCGCTTCAACTTTTTGCTTTGGATATTCTTTTAATTATGTACTATGGTTTGTTTCTATGTAGTAGAATGAAGTATTTTGATTTTTGAAGCAGAATATTCATTACCTTGACTGGAACTCTTGGATGTCGGAGATTCAAATGAATATGACAATGATATGAAAAATCAAAAACTTTAATTTTGGTTGGATTTAAACCTTGTAAAAGCAAGAAATGTTAAGAAATGTAAGTTTTATAGTGATAAGGAGTTAAAAGGATGTCCAAAGGGAAAGGTTGAAGTGGGTAGGGAATACAATTCCATCCATTTTGATTGTAACTAGCAGTTGAAGTTCGAGTACAAGTTCCTAGCTACAAAATTTTTAGTCTCAACTAATCTCGCTGAGATTACATTGTACTGTCTGGCACAAGGAGAGATAAATTATTTTCAGTTTTTTAGTCTCAACTAATCTCGCTGAGATTACATTGTACTGTCTGGCACAAGGAGAGATAAATTATTTTCAGTTTTCATAACTATACAATATAAGTAGATTAAATATACTCCATATTTATTCCAACTTCTTCAATCATTAATAATGTTTTCACTTTCATATATTACTTTTTTTGGTGTACTGTTTAATTGTCATTGTAGTGGACAATACATTTTCCCCTTCGTATTTTTTTAAAAAGAAAAATATTTTAGCAATGCTCTTTCATCAATGCTGGTTCTAACCTACCATATTTGAATGGGCTGAGAGAGACTAAGTTTCATGAATTCAAACTAAAATGACATTCGCAGGGTTGATGACAGAGGCACTTGTTTCGTATACGGGGCACCCCTACTTATTTTTACCACAAGGTACCCAACTCAATTTCAGGCACCTCCGCTTCAAGCTCGTATTTTGTTAATATATCAATCATTAACCTACTTTAAAATGACATCGTTAGCTTCAAAAGACTTTTTTTCTTGTCAAATTAATTGTTTTGGACATCTCTGGTCAAGCCTCTTTATTGTAAACCACTCATTTCTTCCTTGAAAATTATCTTGATACAAAATAAGACTTTGAATGGGATACAGACTTCTGGTTGGGGTTATAAATGTAGGATAAATCCAGAAACTTCTGAGTATTCCTTTCCAAGGTCTCTGGTTTTATCCTTCATTTATAACACCAAACGGAAGTCTTTGTATCCCATTCAAAGTCTTACTTTGTATCGAGGTAATTTTCAAGGAAGAAATGAGTGGTTTACAATGAAGAGGCTCGGCCAAAGACGTCCGAAACGATTAATTTGACAAGAAAAAAGTCTTTTGAAGCGAACGATGTCATTTTAAAGTAGGTTAATGATTGATATATAAACAAAATACGAGCTTGAAGCTGGGGTGCCTGAAATTGAGTTAGGTACCTTGTAGTAAAAATTTGTAGGGGTGCCCCGTATACGAAACAAGTGCCTGTGGTTGATGATTATGCAGCAGCTGTTCTGACCCGGAACTTGTGCACAGCCAGCTTACATTTTAAATGGCTATGGGTTCTTTATCAGGTTTATACATTTCCAGAACTTCGTATAAACGATATTTTAAAATGATGTAAAAATAATATTTTTTAAGCTTCCCTGGCTGAACATTTTAATCCATGTCCATATGTTCCAGGGGTTTTCTGTCTTGCATGATGAAGAAACAGGTACAGCTGTTATTTACAAGGGACTTACAGATGGATAAGATTACTGTAAGTACAGCCACTAAGATTCCAATCGCTGAAGGTTCCCCATTTTTTATTCCTTCGACGGTATTGCTGAAAAAACCCGTTAGGTCCATCGCGTGAAGACAACGTGCGTTGCGTCAGAGCGGAGAATCATCGACAACATTGAGACTTCCGGTTGCTATTACAAGAATTCCTAGCCCGATACTTTTCAGACGAATTTTTTTTTGGGGGGGGGGGGGTTACTTCTACCAGTAAGCGGCCACCGTCGACTATGTTTGACAAATAATTAATTTTTAAACAGAGAAATCCATACGTAAATAATGCGTATATACATGTATCATTAAATCACGAAAAAATTATATTAATATCAAATTGGACTAAAAGTTGTTACTCTACTTTGATTGAGACACGGTGTCAAATAGCAAAGAATTTTGACCCCTAACTTAACAGCATAAGCAGTTTAGCGAGAGTTGAGCCATCACAAGCATTTCTGCATTTTATCATAGGCACTCCCCAGCTTAATTGTCAAAAAATATATATCTACTATACTATGAACATAACAAGGCATGAAACTACATGTAGCCTCCGTGTTGTATAGTAGATATATATTTTTTACCAATTAAGCTGGGGAGTGCATATGCATTTTATTGTTGTATACCATAATTTGCATGACTAATGCACTTTGTCTCTTCTGGGCTCTGAATTGTATTATTTGCAACCAAAGCATTTTTTCTTTCAATTTCTCTGAAAAAAATCAAATAAAATTATGAAGCATTCTTTTCTTTTCAATCTTTTAATTAATGCTGAGTTCATATCTCAATAGGGATGATTTAAATACATGTAACCAGAAAATAAAATTTCTCCCACATTTATGTAATACTAGTATATTTTTCTTCGTGAAATTTGGACCCCCCCCCCCCTCCTGGAGCCTGGAACTCATGAACTCTAGATGCGTTATTTACATGTACCAACTTAGCCATCGGGCCACTTGGAAACAAATCTACATGGCCTCAACACAAATTATAGAATTTAAAACATTTCCTTTGAAAACACTTAACAATTTAAAAAAAAATCCTCAACGTGATAATTTTTTTTTATCTTTGGTCCTTTCAAATTTTTCTGAAAGTAATGTCCACATTTCAGGCGATGATGAATCTTATTTGAAACAGATTTTACTTGGAGTAATTTGTGTTTCAAATCCACAAAAGGGTTTCCCAAGTTGGAACCTCAGTTCAAATTGCTGAAATTATGGGGTGTGCTTGACCAAAACTATTTGGCACTTAAAAAAGAAGTAAAATCTATCCCAGAGAAGAACAATTATTGCGATACACTAGTAAGTATTTTTAAAAGCAATTTTACAACCGATTTTGAAATACAATGTTTGAAATCTGACAGTTTCAAAAAAAAATATTTTTTGTGCTAGTTGGTCTCAATGTAAAAATTCCCTTGGGGGTAACTTCTTTACATTAAGCTAAAATGTTTTCTTTTTTTTAATTGCAACCCTTTAAAAACTTTTTAAAAACATGATATACATTAAGATTCGACTTGGACATTACTTACTTTTTTTTTAAATGAAGGTTGAAAACAAAATTAAAATCATTTCTGTCTTTCTTTAAATAAAACACAAACACTTTGTTCGCGTCTTATGTATAACCTTCCCGCCCGGTAATACCGTACATGTATGGGATAAACAGTGCTAACTGTACAACGACGTCGACTAGCTCTACATTTTTTTCTTTTTGATAATTTAAGTTGAATCTAACATGAGGCCCATGGGCGTTGACATGAGTAGCATAAAACTACTTAGTTTAGCTACGCCTAGAACTGGAATCCCTTCTGGCCTTAAACACACACACACACACACACACACACACACACACTTAAATTAGTGAGAACCCTATAAGGCTACGAGTAATATCATATTCTCGCAGCTTGTTTTCTATGACCAACTTAGCCACACCTTTGGTCCTGCTCCCTGGACCCGTCACAGTAGTGGGGCAAAAAATTTATAATTGTTGATCATTATAATCCAAGAGTAAAGAAGAAGGTGTATTGTACTTGTATGTATTTTCAAAGCATGACCATCTTAAGTCACCCACTATGCTTGAGCGCTAGACCCGTGAGATATAAATTTAACATTTTTGGCATATGGGTCATTAAGCACGTATTGCATTAATAAAATAAGTTTTCCCACTATATGTCCTTAATTAGAAACGAAGATTTTCAAAGATGTAATGTGTTTTCAAAAGTGACCAACTATCTGGAGCCTAAAGGAAAATGTATTGCACATGTACAGTCTTCGTTAAGCATTCATGGCTTATTTGAATCATAGGAACATGCGGTTTTTCTGCTAGATGCCTGATTAATATTTAAAGAGAGTTTAAAAAATGAATGTATTTTCAATTAATGTCCAAGGAGTCTGAACACTGAACCCAGCGACCATGTATTGCACGATTTTCGTAACTTTTACATGTATGATTCATGACTTATTGGAATCATATACGAACAGTTTGACTGCGAGATGTCTGATTAATATTAAAAAAAAAGTTTCACAAAATGAATGTATATTCAATAAATGTCCAACTTAGCTCTACCCTGGGGCCTCAACCATAGGCGGACCGACCACGGCCGGAGCCACAAATTTCAGAATTTTAGAATAGAGCTAAGTGTTTTAGTGTAATCATACAATTAGTTTGACTTCTCAATGCCCATGAGCAGAGATTTTCATAGATGTAATCTGTTTTTAATATACATGAATGGACAGTGAAGACCACCTTAAAGCTTGAACCATGGACACATGTAAGGGCCACTGTTATAGGAAAAATGTTGAGTCATTATATTCATGCATGCAAACAGTTTCAGAACATCAGATATGACACTATATATAATAATCATTTCAATATACATGTATGACTGATTTAGTCCCATCCTGTTGCACGAAATATGAATACAGGGAAAAGAATTCATAGTTTAGGGAAATAACTAATGACTTATTATAATTGGAACATAATAGTGCCAACATGCAGAATTAGATGATATTCAAAGATTTTTGAAGATTGCATTACACTTGATGGTTTTATATAGCCTCATTCCTCAGACCCTAGAAAGGTAGTGAATACGAAATCGCCGATTTTGTTTCCCTTGGCCCATTGATATGATATTTACTGATATTGGTTCTGTCGTTGTTAAGAGGACCTTGAAAATTTTTTTAAAACATACACAGGACGCACGATGGCGGATGAAAATGGATGGCTTTATAGGTCACCCGAATGCCTAAAACGATTCTCTTTTGATTTTATATCTCTTTTAATATACGACAGGGTCATCAATATCGTTACTAAAAATTATTGAAAAACTCATCAATTCATCTTTTACTAATTCAAATGAGAAAAGGTTAGGCATAAAATATTCAAATGAGATATTTCATTATTTTTTAAAGAAGCTTTTTTTGTTTGTTTGTTTGTTTGTTTGTTTGTTTGTTTTTTGTTTTTGGTTTGTTTGTTTGTTTTTTTTTTTTGGGGGGGGGGGGTTGTTTTGTTTTGGTTTGGTTTTTTTTTTGTTTTATTTGCTTATTTTGCTCTATATTGTTTCAAGTGAGATATTCAGTTGACACTCTCTTTTCTAGGTTTTACATATCTGTGTGTCTGGCCGTAGAAATACTACAGCGAGTACCTTAGTAATTTGGGAATAAGTATTTTTCACCTTGACGAAAAATTTCTGGTTACCGAACCTAATTTAAAATTTAAAAAAAATTCTAATATATTGATGGTAATTACAATTTGCACTAAGGATAGCAATATAACAACCAAGCGCTAATGCAGACAAATTCCACTGAGTAGTTAAAAAAAAAATTAACAACGGTATATGACATATTCAGTATGATATACATTGTATCTATATGAGTGAAAAATTCTCGAATGGGACGTAAAACAACATACTTGATCAATCAGTCAACAACACGTGTCTGTTTACAATATGGAATTTATTCTTGAGGCGCACGTAATTCATGAACATATATTTACACGTACAAGACGATAAATATTATTTTTGGCCGATTTTATTTTTTAAATCCAAAAATATCATTAGTTGATCTATAAATGATATTAATACATGGAATATAAAGATAACGAACAGTAATCAAGCTCAAAAATCCATTGAAATAATATAAAATATGAGAGAGCAACCACGCAGACCTCTAAAAAAAATCAGAGGTGGGATCAGGTGCCATGGAGGAGTAAAAATAATGGCCTTATAATGTATGAAAAACCTGAGTCAACATTCGACTTCAAACGACACTGTTGATATCCTGTAATCTGTATCAGTAGTTGTAGCGGCTACGTAGGCTCTATGTAGAGCTACAATCTTGAACGATATGATAGCTAAACAACGAATTACATACATGTAGAGAAAGCCAGTATAAATATTTGGGGGACGTTCAATATGGTAGGGGCTACGTAGCTTCTATATAGCTACGATCCTGAACGATATGTTGTCTAGCCGCTACACTGGGAAAACAAGCTTAAATATTTGATGCTATAATGTAGGTACCAAATCCAGTATATGCCTCTCTTAGTTACCGCATGAAACGAGTTACTTATAAAAAGTGTTTTTTTTCTCTATCTTAGAAAAATTAAATAATATAAAATTTTCATTTGAGTTTCAGCTTGTTCTGTTCCAAAAATAATTATTACTGAGATATTTGTATCCATAATTTAACGCCTAGCGGATAGGTGAGCTATCCATTCATTACAGGTAAATGTCTACCATCTAGCTGAGCACTAGATTAGCCGTTACGACCTTGAGCGCATTCCAGGGTGCTTCGTCTTTAAAAATTTAATCGGCGGCAGTATTGAAAAACATTTCCGGTAATAAATTTTTTTTTTTGGAGCATCCTCATGTAAGAGCCGCGACTGCTGCATACATTTATAGCAGTGTCATTCTGAGTACTATGGTGGCATATTTCTGCCAAATTATAAAGATAAATCATGTTAACATGCAACATAGTTATGTAGACATGCGACTAGCTGCAATAATGTAGCCCTGATTTTTTTTAATCTGCTGTTTTCTGGAGAGGGCTACAATTCCACAGCATCTCCGTAATGGTGCAAATATATTTTTTAGATACGGGCGACTGCGGGCAAAATAAATCGTTTTTACATTCAA